TCTTCAAAGGCAGCCCAAACGTGAATCCACAAATATACAACCAAAGGTCATGCCCAATATCAACCGTCTTATCTTTGAGAGAACTGATCAGAGCGCTGCAAATAAAACGGCCATTGGGCATTTTGAATTGAAAATCTGTTTGGCATTGCTTATGGAAACAATCAATGCTATTACCTCTCTCTTATCTTGCCAAAGCGGATAACTGGAGCAATACAGGAATCACATTTGGCATATTTTATAACAAGGTTGCAAGTTCGAAAAGAAAAAGTTCGATTTTCTACCTTGAGATTTGTTTTTGTTATAAAGCTTAGTTTGGTCGATGTATAACAAATATTAATGAAACAATTTAATTTTGAATTTATGATTTCCCGTTCTACTGAAAATATTGCAAGCCGTAGATATTTTCATATAGTTCTTTTATTTCTACCCGAAATATGGCTAGATAAATCCAATTATTTGGGCCCAAGTTATTCATGCTTTGAGTTTTAGTTCGGTTGTCTTTGAGACAAGCTTAAGGTGTTTTTTTAATTAAAATAATTGAAATTCATGTTTCTCAACTGTGTAAATACCAGCTCCAGCATATCCATCTTGTCTTGGATTGTAAGTTAAATAATTATAGAGACCGGATATAGAGTTTTTTTTTATGTCCATTGATTTTATTTTTTATCATGAGTCGTTTTTTATTTGAAGAATTTTGGATTTTAAAGGTATATTTGGCAATTTGCGCTTTTTTATCTTAAATTTTATGTTATTATTTAACTTCTATGTTATTATATTTCTAGTTTATGAATTAGATCACTGACAAATGCGGAGATGTGCGATGAACAGTGTATAGGATCATTTTAAGCAATTTCTAGAGCAGCAGCACATGGGCTAAATTTTGTACTTAGTATATATTCGTTGTTTTTAAAGCTTCTGTTTATGGCCAGGATTAGGGAACGTATTTTTGCTTTATGACAACTGTAGATACTTTCTTATAATGCAAAAGTTGATTAGAGTTGACTGATCGGATTTTAATGCGGCGCAATTTTGAAATTTTTAAAATTTTTTTATTGGTTTTTTAAGGTTTTTAGTTTTTATACATACACATCTTGTCAAAATACAACTAATTACAGCCTTTTTAATATATGTGAAGTATCAACCCGGATTAAAGCTGTGACTTTTACCAAATTTTAATTTTTTTTTAGCTGAGGAATGGCTAACAAATCACATATATTTTTTCCTTTTAACAATCCAAAAACTACATTACAAATTTTCAAAAACAAAAATAAAAAAAAATAACCAAAACGGGCATGCTGAATATAAATATATCATAACGATAAAAAAAAATTTTTTTTTTCAATTGAGAAAACTATTGAAACCTGATTACTTGAAATTTTTGAACATCTGTATACGTGTGTCAGGGTATTTCTTTTGAGTCTGCGATTCTTCGTAGGGTCAATAAAGCTCATTTACTGGACCAGGGAATCGCAAGCTTTGTGATGAAAAAGCGATATATGGACATGCCTGTGTATGTACGTATGTATATCTATAACTATATACATAGGTAGGTGTAGATTTTTATGTGATACAAGTTAAAACTAAGCTTAGTCAGTACGGTATTTAGAGCACCACAACTACTTTGGAGGTGGAAACCTGCTGATCCATTACATCTGGCATGTTCATGGCTGTGCGACGGCCGGCCGCCACCACCGCTACGCGTTGGCCATGCATAGAGCCGATGGTGCCAGTATTGGTGCCGATGGGATTGCTGGTTACAGTAACTGGGGCCTCCTTGTTGTGGACACGCATATGGCTGTTTAGGCGCTTTTTGGTGGGGAATGCCTTCATGCATTTGTCGCACTTGAATGGCTTCTCACCGGAGTGCAGGCGCACATGGGCGTTCAGGTTGCTGGTGAAGGTAAAGGCACGTCCGCAGATGTGACATTTGTGCGGCTTTTCCCCGGAATGGACAAGCATGTGCTTTTTATAGCCGGATTTTTGTGAGAGGCCAACGCCGCATATTTCGCAGGTGAATGCCTTTTCGCCCGTATGGCTGATCTTGTGCTGGCGCAGCGACGACGAATCGTAGTAGGCCTTATCACACAAATCACACGCATAGGGACGCTCGCCGGTGTGTGTCAGCTTGTGACGACGCAGATGATCGAAGGCCGCATAGCTGCGCCCGCACTGATCGCACTTGAACGGCTTGTCCTCGGCGTGGGTGCGCATGTGGGCAGCCAGACTGGATGTGGTGCGATAAAAGCGTGCGCAGACCAAGCACTGATGTGGCTTAGCATTTGTGTGGGTCAGCATGTGCTCCTTGTAGTTGCGCAAGTGCTTCAGCTTCTTACCGCACATCTCGCAAGTGTACAGCTTCTCGTCCACATGGGAGCGCATATGTTGATTGAGACGGCACTGCTGACGGAATGCCTTGTTGCAGACATGACAAACATGTGGTAGCACTTCGCCGCCAGGTCCAGCGGCTACCTGATTCGAGGCAGAGCCGTCCATTGAGTCGTCCAGAAAATCTTCACCCTCCTCGCTATCGCCAGTCAGCTATGAGTTAACAAAATTTATTTCCGTTTGTTAGCTACAATTTCACCGGTCACTTTAGACAATATTTTTATATGTTGCTTACCAAATGCTCTTCGCGCTCCATGTCCAGTATATCGTCGCCTTCGACTTCGCCAATTACCTCATCGATGGGCTCCTCACCAGACATGATGACCATTTGGTCATCAAGCATTTGGATTTGCATTTGTTCACTGACCGTTTCGAGACGCGGCGAGTCCATAACCTCGATGTCATCGTCGTCTTCCACCTGCGAGTCATATTCACTTTTGATCGTCACATACTCAATGTCAGCCGTTTGGAAATCGTTAAGCGGTTCGAGTGCATCGTCCGCTTCTAATTCCGCACCAATCTCTGCCTCAGTATCCGCGCTCACATCTTCGACGACAAATTCATCATGCTCTTGTTCTTGATCATTGTAGGCCTCAACGAGTGCGGCAACATCTTGCGAAATAGAGCCCGTTTTATCCACAGACTGTTGGGCCTCGGCCTCGTCGCTAAGCAGCTCGATCATTACATACTCCTGGTTGTTGGCGTTCAGACTGGTATTGTTGTTATCAACTTCCTCGAGGCCCAGGCGTAGCAGCTCATCGGAATCGATGACCATGCGCTTGAAATTGAATGCCTGCTCCAGCAACTGCAGGCAATGCATGCATATGTGTTGCGGCATTGCAGCGCCATCCTGCGGCTCGAACGAAAGATTGGAGCAATAGTGCAGCATGTTGGCAAGCGTGGTACTGCCCTCAGGGCCGATCTCAATTTCGTCTTGCAGCGATTTATATTGTTTACATGCACGGGTGCATGTGCGGCAGTTAAGCACCACGCCTGATTTGCTGCCGCTCATCATTTCTGCTTGGCTGTGTAAATATATCGTTCGTTTGCGTTTTTTGCCCGCAATTGTTGCCACTGTTTACAACTGCAAATGTATAGCGCCGATTTTAATGCGCAACTTCTTTTCTATTTGCCATTCGCGTGTACTGTTGGCTCGAGTTAAAAAAAAACACACACAAATTGTATTGGCATATGCACAGTCACACAGTCTCGCTCGCTTCAAAATGGCGTCGACAATAGCTGTGTTGCAAGCGGGCGAAACAAGAAGAAGCACTTGACAAACAGTGCTGGGAAACGGCGCCTAAAATGTTTTAGCACTTTATTCAAATGCCCACACTTGTATTTAGCGTATGGACATAGAAATAGATTTTATTAATATTTTTTTTATAATACAAATGAATTATTACGATGGTGTACAAAGCTGGCTATAGCTGGATACTGCAGCGCAGCCTTAGTTTCTGGGTCTGACAAATGCGATCTAGCTCTAGTTTCTGATGGTAAATATGATACAGCTGACCCTGAACGGGAATGAGAATTTTTAGTGCCTTGCAAAATGCAATCGGTTTGTTTTGGGGACTCGGCTCTACGTCGCTGGGTCAATCTAAAAATGCAAGAATTCTAGAATTTTCATGTCATTTGACTTAATGTAAAACCTACCGGCGTTGCGCTTCCTCTCTTCGAATTTTAACAATGTGACTTATTTTTCGCGCTCGAAATTCGAGTTGCTTCCGCGCCATACGAAGTCGATGCCCTTCTAAGTAATGTTTCTGACAGAGTGTGCGTGCCAACTGTATGTCCTTATCTAACTTAAGTTCTTCTTTTTCCTGTGCAAGCAGAAACATTGTGAATTGTGGTGTAAAATCGTTCAAGCTAAAAGAATTTCACCTTTTTCGCTATATGCGTATCCATACTGCTGATATTGGCTTTCTGAAAGGCGTCGATTAGATCGTGAGGCAGGCCGTCGCGCCATGGCTCTGGATGAAACATATCTTTGAGATTTGTGGGCAGCGCATTGTTCACCTGCCGTCCGCGCACATTTTTACGGCAAATCGGGCACGTATACGTGGGTGCATCGCCGGGAATGCGACCCAAACTGGCAGTAACGCATTTCTCGCATATAACATGCTGACAGGCCAGCAAAAATAACATGCTCTGCTGATCAACATAATGCTCAAAGCAGCAATTGCAGTGAATCCACAATTTGCTTGCCTTGGCTTCATCAATTATAATCTCCGATTCATCAGGGTCCTCGTTGTTCATGATTCACTTTTTATTAACGCATTTGAAAATATCTGTTCTGTAATCGTAACGGGTTTCGGCCGTTGCCATTCACAATTTACGTATTAACTGTGATTAGTGAAAATCAGCTGGGTTGCGGAACACAACATAACAACTGTAACTTCGTTCATGCTAGGTATGCAGCTCACTGTTAATTTTGTATGTAACAAAATTATTAAAAAAATAAAAATACTAAAAATGAGGCTTAAAACTTATCTGCGCATTTGATTTGCTTGTATTTTGTAGAAATCTGTGGCCTTGCGCGCCCCATAACCTATGATCAGCATACTAGGCACTAGTGCGTTGAATCATTGTATACGCATACATACATACATAAGTGCACATACGTAAGTTAACATTTTGTAGCAGAATGTTTGGTTTTGTGAAACTGCTTTTAAAATATCGACTTGCATTCATATTAATCATTATAGCCGTGTTGGTTAGACTTTATCAGAAAGATGTTGTGCAGCTCTTACAAATCGCAGCTGCGCGCTATTTAAATATCGCCGCCAATAAGCAGACGGACAGCGTCTCTGTGCGGTTCACAGATACACGCGGCAATCTCTTCACACCGGAGCAGCTGGCCACGTACAATGGCGAGAATGGAGCAGCCATCTATTTGTCGCTGCTTGGCGCCGTCTATGACGTTTCACGTGGACTAAAGCACTACGGACCCGGCTGCAGTTATAATTACTTTGTCGGTCGCGATGCTTCCGTTTCCTTTGTCAGTGGCGAGTTCGAACACTACGATCCGAAGACGGCTGATGATGTGCTCAGCCTGAAGGCCAACGACTTGATCGAGCTGGCCAAGTGGCAACAGTTCTACGAGAAGGAATACATATATAAAGGCAAACTTATTGGACGCTTCTATGACGAAGAGGGCAAGTCGACCGTCTACCATCAGAAATACCTGGCACTGCTGGACCAAGCACAGATAGCCAAGGCGCAAGTAGATGAGCTGCGCAACAGATATCCTGGCTGCAATATCGAGTGGTCCGAGGCGAAAGGCACACGCGTATGGTGTACCACAACAAGCGGCGACGGCAAGAAGCGCGATTGGCCCGGCTATCCACGCAAGCTATATGATCGTGACAATAAGAACTTTCACTGCGCCTGCGTACCCGAGGCGGAGTTAAATGATCCAATGTTCAAATCATATGAGAATTGTGCGTCTCGCTCGGAGGAATGTTTTTATCGTGTCTGAATATTGTGTATATATATTGTGTATTATAGCTTATGGGTTCAAGTAGTGAACAAAATACAATACTAATATATTACATCTAAAACTGTGCCTGGTTTCAATCCTTCGTTGTAATTTTTTATAATTTTTTTTTTTAATTATAAATTATAATTATGAGCTTTCTTTCCCAGTTTATATGTATGTATGTATATTGTAACGGCTTGTGTGCGGTATTGTCGATATTCCAATATTTAATGTTCAAAAATATGTATTTAAAATGTACTTGAGTTTTAATAAAAATGGTTCAGCATTTGATTTTGATATTATGTATTTAATGCCATTTTTTCCAAGAACTTATAGAGGTAAATCTTAGATATTTTTTTAAATAAGAAATATATTCAGATCATAAAATATTTATAATTAGAATTTTGCTAAACGGATTATAGAAAAATGTGTTATCCAATTACAAAAAATTGTATTGTTTTCAAACTACTTATTTTTACAAGAAAAAAAAAAAATACTTTTGGTGGTTTTTTTTTTTTAACATATGGCAACTTTGATGTCGAATTGTTGTCTCGATTAAACAATCGGCAATCAACAGAACACCTAACAAAAACACAGAAAAAAATACAAAAAAAGTTTGACGATAATTCAACTTTCGACATTCTATTGAGGAGTTACAAATAAAATACAAAATTCGACGTGAAATTATTATAATATACAGATTTTTCGCTAATTTTGTTCGCCATTCGACTGCTGCCAGTGAGTAAAAACAGTGTGACCGACGAGTGATAATGCGAATAATTGCGCGTTTGCTTGCAGAGCTTATGATATAATGTCGCGTACGTTGAGCCGTTTATTTGGACGCTGCCTGATTAGCCATGCCTATGTGAGACCCTTGCAGGCAAATGGTGTGATGAGAAATCTCCTTGAAGGACAGCCGATGCAAGGTAACTGCGGTGGCTGCATTGCACCTTATTCGAAGCGAAATGGTCCACCTCACGATGCGGGCGAGCCTTTTAAAACCGTGTCCAAGACTCGAAATGTTGAGGATGGTAAGTTGTTGAAAGATTCATATTTGTCCGCAAAGTCCACAAAATAATTGCGCTTAAATGTTCGGCAGACGATCTTAACAGCCTTGAGGGAGAACCCAACTGGGAGCTAACTTCGCAACGTAGCAATCGCTTCTATTTGCCAAATGCCACCGGCCCTGCATGGCAGGGCGATACATCCACAGTGGGTCTAATGGAACCATTAGCTCATCTAGTCAATTTCTTTAAGGACGAGAACGTGGACAAATCACGCTTAGAGTTTTCATGCTGTCAGTGCCCAGTGTTGATACGCGATTCAATATTTGAACAATTCCCAGTTCGCGCGATTGGACAAAGGGACTATGCCATAACACTTCTCACACTCAGCTACGAAGGAGACATAGAGCAGGGTGCAGCCAAGGTAAGCGCACGCAGGGGCGCTACACATACACACGGAAACATTCACTGCAAATTTCTTTTTCTTATTAATTACAGTTTGTGCTCGCTGCCAGAGAAATAAGCGATCGTTTGCTTTCGTTGGGCTATTGGGCAGACTTTTTAAATCCATTTAGTGGACGTCCATACTTTTTACCCAGAGACGGGTCTATATTGTACAAACAGGACTGCCGCTTCCGCGGACTCAATATGCGTCTGTCCAATCACAACGAGTGCGTGCTTATCGCTGCCGAAGAAAACGATAGCATTTACTTCTCAGGCACCATCTTCTGTACAGCGCCAAATAACTATAGTCTGCTGGTAGAGCTGCTCGCGCCTACAGAATTTAAAATGCGAATTGAGGATGTACCGGAATGACAGTGGATAACCGTTAACAACAATTTCGTAGTACAATTTCCATGTAACCAACACTCAACAATAGCGCAACATGCGGCCTTGGCTGGTCAGCAGAAGATAACGAAAGACAAGACGTAGCCGTTTAGTGATGACAACTGTGTTAATTGCCAAGTTTTTGTTCGGACTTGTCAAAAACATTGTGTACAAACTATTTTCACCCTCTATAAGTTTGTAAAACACATATTTAAATTACACGCATATGTATGTATATGTATATGTAATATATATATATATATGTATATATATATATAGAACTGATTTCCATTCACTTATTTTTTATTCTACGTAATCGCCACTTGATTGCAGTGTCTTTCAATATCCTTGAGACGATTTATCAGCGATTGCAGCTCCTCGGCATTGCATACGAACTCCACAATAGAGACGCGTTCCCCACTGCTCTGGCGATACTGTCCCAAATTGATGTGGAAATGTGGAGCACCGCTGCTAGAGTCTGATGTTGAGGATTTCACATCGCAGACAATGCGCCACTGGACGTCGGTGATGTGCGGAAAACTGTGGCCCAGCTGCAGTTGACGCAGCACAAGATCCTTGCGATTGTCCTCGTAGACTCGTGTCAATTCATCAATGGCGATGGCATTTATGGACAGTCCTTCCAATTGCTGGCGCAGCGTCACACTGTCCCAACCATGTTTCGTGGCCACGGCGTAGAGCGTGACCACAGCATATTCGCTCTGTTTGGCGCTGGCTGCGTTCGAGGCGTATATTTCGGGCACTGGTGCTATAACTGGTTATCAAACAATTTGTAATTAATTGGACTAGAGCAATATTAATATTCCATACTTGCATCTGGATGAAGCGTCAATTTTAATGAATTAGCAATTAACGTTTTGCTTATGGTGGCGGTTAGAATGGTGCCCAAGTTCTTTAAGCCAGCTATCACGGTCGCCGAGAGCAATCCATTATTAGAATCTGCGGTAGTGGCATTGGCTGCGCTCGGGCTCGGGCACTGCGTTGCGGTGGCCATCTACAACAATTTTTGCAGCGGATACACATAGAAGCAAAAATAATAATAAACAGCTGTGCATTTGCCATTCACAACGAGCGATCAATGTTAGGTTAACAGTTCGAATATGAAAGCAGTTTTAAAAGGGGCTTAACTGTCTTCGAGGCTGTTAATGCTGTCGCTGCTGCTGCTGTTATAGCCGTTGCTAACATCGCTGTTGCTGTTGGTGCATGTTGTTGTTGTTGTCACATGCATTGGAGCTTGAATTAGGCGTGTTAAGGTTGTGCCGATTGTTGGAATGCGCTGACACAACGTACGTGGGAAGCGTGAATGTATCCTCAACTTCGTCATAGGTGTCACTGCTTTTTGCTTAACAATCGTAACACGAATTCACATCATGACGGTTTCATGCGCCATTTTTCACCACTTGAATTAAAATTGTAGTACAAATTTAAATATTTTTTTTTTTCATCTCTGTCTACCTAGTTTATTCGTAAAATTGAAAAAAATATAGAGGAAAATACTTTTCTTGTAGATAATTTGTTTATTGTGAACCAGATATTACATATTGTTTTAACAAACACATACATTCTTATACATATATGAATATTATATTTTGTTTATTGACTTGGGCTAAGGGCATGCGTGTAGAACGTCTTTTCTTCCACACCGCGCTTTATAACATGCGGTATTTGCTTAGGCTCCATGCTGTGAATAGGAAGAGTTTTTATTATTACATACACAATTTAAGACGATCCAAATATTTATAGCCAACGAAGGAATGATAGTGATAGACACCATCAATGACATGTCTTGCATCGCGTCAGAAGAATACAAAATGAGAATTACAGATTCAATACAAGATCACGTCAATGACATTTCTTGTAGTGCTCAAAGCAGAAAGAGAGAGAAAAAGAGAAAGAAAGAGAGGGAGAGAGGGTACTGGAAGACGACCAGCAAGACAGGTAGCCAAGACAGAAATATCCTTATCAGAATTAGATCGACAGGCACTTACCGAATGCAATCGATGATGGGACAGACGGAGACACAGAGAGTGCAGCCGGTGCAGTCGTCGTTGACGTGCGGCAAATGCGTGTCCTTATCAAATTCAATTGCCTGATAGCCGGAGTCAGCGCAAGTCATGTAGCACTTGCCACAGTTGATGCACATGTCCTGTAGGGTATAAATATAAATATATAAGTACAATTGTGCAGGTCAATAGAAGGACCATGGAAACCTACATCATTAATGAGAGCCACCTTCTGTTGCTTGTTGTCGAGGCTCTTGTAGGCACCGATGCGCGGCAGAGCCGCACCAATGACATCTGTAATTTTGGGTGCGGGCTTAACATCAGCAGAGCTGGTCGCGTCTACGGTAGCCTGTTGCGCATCCCAAAAGGCGCCCTTCTGCTTGCGCAAGTCGGCCAATTTGATGTCACGCTGCTGCTGGTAGGGCCCAAAGAAGCCAAGCGATTGGTTGCCACTGCCGGTCAAATGGACGACAGGCTTGCCCTTCTGGTGGACTGGCGTTGGCGGCGATTGGCCATCCCAGAAAGCGCCATTGACTGGCGGAGGATTCGCCTTCAGGTAGAGCAAAGCCTTCAAGCTGGTGCAATAGTCATCAATGAGCGTGAAGTCTTGATTCTGTACGGAGGAGCAGATCTGCAGCACTGTGGCACCAGCCTGAAGAAACTGAAGCGCCACCTCACCGGAATCAATGCCTCCAATGCCCAATATGGCAAATCCTGGCAGCTTTTTGGCTATTTCCGAAACGGCACGCAGCGCAATGGGACGTGTGGCGTTGCCAGAGACACCGCCGTATGTGGTGCGCTGCTCCTTGCCAACCGCTGGCCAGGCTGTGGCATCCGCTTTAAGGCTCATCAAACCCTGAACCGTATTAATTGCAGAGCCGCCATCGGCGCCACCACGTTGCGCTGCTTGGGCAATGGACACAATGTCCGTGATATTTGGCGTTAGCTTGATAAAGAAGGGTACTTTGACAGCCTTGCGCACCCAACGCGAGATATCCTCGACTAATTTGGGCTCCTGGCCGCAGGCCAAGCCCATGCCACTCTCACCCATGCCGTGTGGGCAGGACAGATTTAGCTCAAGGGCATCGGCGCCAGACTGTTCCGCTTTGATAGCCAGTTCCGTCCAGTCCGCCTCGTTGTAGCCGCACATGATGCTCGCAATGATAATCTTCTCGGGAAAGTCACGCTTCAGCTCGCCAATGGAGCGTAGCCAATATTCGGCGCGCTTC